AAGGGCCGCTGGCCGAACTGACGGATGGACCCCCCGAAGGGAATGAACACACAACACAGCTGGCGCGCAGGCTCATCCCCGCGGCGGGCCTGGTTGCGGCCTGGGGTCCCGGGGCCTTGGGGCCCGCTGACGCAGGCTGGAGGGGCGAACGGAGCAACCCACAGCCGCGCCGCCCGCTCGCTCCACGCCGGCTTCTATTTCCTCTGCGGCAGGCGCCAAGGCCCTGAACAAATATTTTCCTGGAGTGGAGGAGCGGCTTAACTCCCAGCCCTAAGTGCTGGAAACACCGCCGGGTCGGGCAGGTTCCAGGAACCAGAGGAGGAGCGGGGTCTGGCTGCAGCCGGGGGGGGGGGGGGGGGGGGGGGGGGCCCGTCCTCGGGGCACGGTGCCCACCCTCCGGGCCCACTGCGGTCGGGCCACTCCACCAGCCCGTCACCCTTCGCAGGAAGCAGCCCACTTGCTCTGTGCAGCTCACGGCTGGGAAAGGCTTTTGCCCTGGGCCTCTCCGCCCATAAATTAGAATCCTCTGGGATCCTGAAGAAAACGTAGGCCATGTGGGCCTCCCTCGGTTTTGCTGAAAAAGCTACAGTGGGGTTTAAAGGAACTAATTAGAATCTCAGAAGCCCTTTTAAAAGCTCCCCCCAGCCCCCACCACCCACTTTAACTTTCTTATTGCAGAATAACATACACAGAGTACACTCATCTGAAGTGTATGGCTTGATGATTTCTTTACACATACACAGACACCCTTGTAATCACCACCTACATCAAGCCAGAGAAACTTCCAGAGAAGGTTCCTTTCATGTCCCTGCTTTGCCTACCCCACACCCCCAGCAGAGGCACCACTGGCTTCTATTAACATCGAGTAGCTTTGCCTGTTCCCGAGCTTTATATACGTGGAGTCATGCAGTACGGGCTCTTTGGTGTCTGGTTTCTTGAGCTTTATATATTGCCGTGATATTCATCTATGTTGTGTGTGAAGCCGGTTTGTCCTTTTTGACTGCTGAGTAGCATTTCACGGTATGAATGTTATCAGTTTATTCATCCATTGTCCTGTCTGGGGGTTGTTTCCACACTTGGGCTATGGTGAATGAAGCTTCCAGCACACACACGCGCGCTCATTCTACTTGGATTATATGGAAGGCATATGTTTCTCTTCAATAGATATTGCTCCAAAGGGCTCAGACCCATCGGCTCGCTCTCCAACCACACGCCTCCCCACGCGCCCCCCCCCCCACTATCGTCCATCTCTAATGTCAGCCTTTGTGGTGGGTGTGATGGTGTCTTGCGCTGTGAATAAGCTTCTAAAGACGACTTGACTTTCAGAGCAATACAGCAGCACCAGGTGGCTCCAATGAGCGCCCCAAAGGCAGACCCCCTCTTTGCAGTGAGCCCATGCGTCATGCTGGATCATAATAAAGCGCCTGCCCTCAGGAGGCACCCAGGATAGCAGGATGCCACTGTGGAAGCAAATCCCTCGGTGACATGGTGAGAGGTGCCCGAAGCTAAGGGGCATGGAGGACACAGGGCCTCTCCCTAGAGCTGTGGGCCCAGGCTCGAAGTGAAGCAGGTGTGTGATAGCAGGGCTCACTTAGGGGTGCGTTTGCCCTCACACCCACATTCAGAGTGGGTGTAGAGCTGGCAAGGCTCAAGGATGGCCCGGGGTGACAGGGTGCAATGGTGTTGGGGAGTGGGAGGAGGCCAGGTAAGGGCGGTGCCCACGGCCAGGCAGGGCTGGCGGGATCCCAAGCCCCTCGAGGGTCCCGTGGCTCAGGACCCTCTCCTCCAGCTCCTGCCCCCACAACTCCAGGAACCAGCGCCCCCCTCTTCCAAGGCGGCCCGCCCTCCTTGCTCCTCTGCCTTGCTCTCCAGGCTGGAGAGGGGCAGGACGGCGTACGGTTGATGGGGAGAGAGGAGGACACGGTGCCTTGGAGCTGGGAGCACGGCCCCACACTCCTGTCTGCACGGGGGCCCCCTGCGGACCCATTTCCCCAGATGCTGCTTGGGGTCCACCTACCAACAATGCCTAGCCTGTCCCTCCTGCCGCCCGTTACCCTGCCCCCACCCTGTGACGGGCCGGCCCAGAGGACAACCTCAGACTCCACTGGAGAAGCGCACCTGGGGGAGGGCAAGGTGACGCCCAGCGAAGTGGGGGCAGGCCTCACAGGTTCTGCCAGTTCTCCCTCCGAACCAGCTCTCAAAGCCAGCCCGTCCTCCCCATCTCTCTACTGTCCCGGGCCTCGGCCCCAAATCCCTCTGCAATTCCCAGAGCTGCTCCTCAGAGACCCTCAGAGAAGTTGCACGTGACTTCCTGCCACATCCCCGCGTCACCTCTCCCCACACCTGCTTTCATCCAACGGCAACACCAAGTCTCCCGAGTCCCTGCTTCTAGCCAAAGCCGTGCCTTCCACCCGGAATGCCTCCCCCTGACCCCACCCCCCAGCCCCCTGTCTGAGAGACCTCTGTCCTTCAAGACCCAGTTCCAATGCCACCTCCGGGCACCTCCCCTGACCCCAGCGCCACGCGGGGTTGGGTGCCCACCTTCCCCCACCAGCCCACACCGAGCCCCGGGACCGCGACACCCGAGAGCAACACTGCGCATCTTTGCTGGAAGTGCAAGCACAGGGTGAGCCGTGAGCTGGAGAAAAACCTGAGAGGCAAACAAGGCAGAAAGTGCCATTTAAAGCAGAAACGGGCTTAAAGGAAGAAAGCAACACCATCGATGTAAGAGAAGATGGTTCATTAGTTTAGAAAATAGCTCGAACGCACTCTTGGTAGGAAATTCCAAGAGTGCCCCATCCCCACACAATGCCCGGACACATGGCCAGGCGACGGGGCCAGGCGCGCAGGGGCTCGATGGAAAGGTGAGGAGAAAAGGAAATAGCGGTCAAGTGCTCCATCCCCAGGAGTGGGGAGGGAGAGTCTTGGGAAAGCAGAAAAGAGGGGAGAAAGCAGGTCAAGCTCGTGGAGGGTAGGGCAGCAAGCTGAGGCCCGAGAAGGAAGAGGTAGAGAAATTCCTTGAGGCCGGGTGACCGAGGAACTTGGAGACGCCGTGTAACCCCTTCACACTGCAGTTTTCTCCCTCTTAGGCTCCCTGTAAAGCCGGCTTTACGACACCTTCCTGCACCACCCTGTACCGGTGGTGCCCTCGGGTCGGGGTGACCCCGGCAGGGGCTCAGAGCAGGGAGGGCAAGAGAAGCTCCGGGCAGTGGCACAGCTTTGCCCTTCGGAGAGGACAGGAGTGGGTGGCCCGGGACACTGGGTCCTGGAACCTTGCAGGTCCCACGTGGAAGGGTCATCAGCCCTCCTGGGTCCTAGTGTCGCCTCAGTGGGGGCACAGCCGGCTGTGGGCTCAGGAGCCAGGCTGCCTGCTTCCGAAGCCCAGCTCCCCTGCTCACGGGCATGCAATTGTGAGAAGCTGCTTCCTCCCTGGGCCAGTTTTTGTCTGCGAAGCGGGCATGACAACAGTAGCGCGGTCTCAGAGACCGGTTAGGAGACGTGGGTAGCGGAGAGATAATCCAGGGGTGGTGTCCAGCAGCATCTGGCCCACAGTGAACTCAGTCAGAGTAGGAAGTTGCCTGTTCTACAACCGAACCTTCACTATCCAGACCGGGGCTGGCAGAAAACAGGCATTCAGGGTTTTTGATGTTGAACAAATGAATGAGCTAAGGACTGTCTCAGCCTCCAAACCCAGGGCCGGAGGGGCGGGTGCCAAGGGCCCCAGGCAGAGAGACCTGCTACGGAGGGGCGGCTGAGGGGCCAGGTGGGCGTCAGCAGCCCGGATGGGACTCTGAGTAAGGGGAGGGCAGCCAGACGTCCTTAGAACACTAGGGCTCCTACAGTGCATTACACGTTTCCAACCTCCAAAATTTTCAGTCGTTTTTCCTTAACATGTAGACATTTGTAGGCTTTTGGCACTTGAGACCGGCTGCTGGTGGGCTTTCAGGAGTTGCAGGGTGATGGGCGCACAGAGTAGCTAGCAAACTTTGAGTTGGTAGGGAGCTCTCACAAGGTAGGGAATGATCTAGAAGGACAGCAAGAAGGACGGGCTGGGCAGGAGACAGACCGAGAGCCCTGGGAGGAGGTGAAATGACAAAGGCCAGACCCAGGGCAGAGGCGGACACAGCCCTCCCTTACAGCACAGGGCCCGGCCCTAATCCCGCTGCTCCTCACCATCCGACAGCGCAGGCCAGAGCCAGGCACCCTCCAAGAAGAGGACAGGGGAGGGCACGGCCAGGCCAAGAAGAGACTCAACCACCACCACAGCCCAAAATGACAAGTGCCGTTTATTACAGTTACACAAATGGGCCTAGCCACAGGCTCGGCGCCATCCCAGGGATGAGCAGAGATGAGCAGTCACGGACCCCTTCCCCACCCTTCTCCCCACACCCCCCCTCCCCAGTCACGTCCAGTCACACGCTCCAGGCAGAAAGTCCCAGTATTGAACACAGAGCACAGGTGCCCTTCGCTTGGCGGTGCATCGCTCTGCGTCACGACGGCCCCCCGCCTGGAACGGCCAACAGAGCGGCTGGAAAGGTCAAATTAAATAGGCAAGCACAGGGGCTCCCAGGAGGGCTCGGCCGGGGGCCTCGGGTCCTAGCAAATGTGTGAGGGGAGGTCCGTCCAAGGTGTCTGAGAGGCAGGCCGCCGGGGGGCCAGTGGTGTCCACCGAGGCTGGGCTGAGCCACCACAGCCTCTCCAGCCGATGAGGAGACAGTGCTTCGAGCTTGGCAACACAGAAATTTCTATCAGGCCTTCTATAACCTTGGCTGAACCTGCTGACCTTCAGAAGAATTTTAGCAAAGACAAAAAAAAAAAAAAAACGAAAAGCAAACCAACCAGAGGGACTCCGATCCCAGAATCTCATCTCTTGGGAAAGATAAAGGCACAGAGTTCTTGGCCAAGTTTTCCCAATATCATCTCTGTTTAGAGAAAGAGCTGGTCACGTCCACACGACCAGCACAGACAGAAGCAGCAAAGGGCAGGAGAGTTTGCGTGACTACTTTATATTAAAGTTTATTACATTTGGAAAATCTACTGTACAGGGAAAAACCCATTGGATTAAGTAGAGTTTTGCCAAAAGCAAAAGACTATCACTCTTTGGAACATTCCTGATTCCAGCCCAGGGCAGGGCCACCGGAGCGAACTGAAGGTGAACCTGGTCCTGCGTGGAATGGCTCCGTGCCAGGTGTGTGCCCAGGCCCCTCACGTCACCTTCTGGAAGAAAATGTCCCCCAGAGACATTTTCTGGGGCACCCAAGGCAGGGCTCGGTCCACGGGAGACTCTCTGGGCCCACTGCCCCGTCTCCCGCCCCACAGTCCTCTCTCCTTGGTCCCTGGCCAGAGGTGCCAGGATTCCATTCTCCCATAGCTCCTCGGCTTTACAGCAGCCTGGCCACGGCGGCGGCCCCATGGCCACGGCCACGGGCACCGCTGCTCCAGCGGCGACTGCCCGTGGGCAGCCGGGATCAGCCAGCCCAGCCCCGGGGCCACCCGGCAGGCCTTCCATACCCTGTTGCACACATGAGTGACAAACTCAGAGACAACACACAAACTAGGCCTATATGTTGGCTTCCAGATTTGGTTCTCCTAGTTTAAAAACAAAACAAACAAACAAACAAAAAAAAAACAAGTCTGAACCCTGATGCTGTCTCCTCGCTGTAGATTAGAAGACGGGGGTAACCTAATCAATTTACTTACCTTACCTCAGGAGTAACAAAGTCTACTGGGCTACGAACAGAGAAACTAGAGGAAACATGTGCAAAAACAAGTTGGTATCTAAAGGAGACCCCCCACCCCCCACCCCCCCGCAAAACAATGTGAATCCGATGGAGCTCTGAACGCCTCTCCCCGCCCCTCGGGGATGGAAACGCCCCCAGATCAGGGGTCTCCGCCAGCAAGTGCGACAGATGTGCCAGCCCCCAGCCAGCGGCCCCATCCAGGGCCAAAGCTGCAGGGTCCCCTTCCCCTCCAGATTTGGGCCTGGGGAGGGGCTGCTCCAGGTTGGAGAAACGGAGTCAGGAGATGCCAGGTGCTGGCTGTGGTGGAAGGGTCACGCGCGAGAAAGCCCCTGCGCCCAAGTGTTCAGGCAGAAGTCAGAGAAGCAGCGTCGAGAGCCCCCAGTGCGCCCCGGGGGTCCGCGGGCAGGGCGCTGGGGGGCTGCCATGGAGGCAGGGCCTGCAGTTCTTCATGGAAGAGGCAAGCGGGGGCCTAGCAAGTGGCAGGGGGAGGAGGGGCATGGTCCCCGTCAAGCATAGAACTCCTCCTGCTTGCTGGGCTTCTGGTAGGCTCCACCGTTGGCTTGTTTTGGCTCCTCCAAGGAGTAGCTGCCCTCGTCCTTCTTCTTCATCCGGTACAGCATGAAACCCACCAGGCACACGGCAAAGATGAGCCCCACGAGGCCTCCAGCGATGACTCCTGTGCGGGGCAGGGAGGCCGGCTCAGCGTGGGGCTCCCGGGGTTAAGCAGCAGTCTCCCCCCACACCAGGCGGGGCCCCCAAGGCGGCCGTGGTCAGCCCCCGCTCCAGAGACAAATACAGCCCCCCTCCCGCCCACTCGAGAGACACTCACCTCCCAGCACTTCCTTCCTGTCCAGGAGGCCCTGTGAGGCCTCGTGGTCCACTGGGGGCTGATTGCGCTGGTCAGGCTCCACCGCCGTCCCGGCCATGTTCTCCCCAGACAGGTCGAAGGTGAAGTCCTACGGGGCGGAGGGGGGGGGGGCAGGGACGGTCTCAGGCTGGGGTGGGCCTCTGCCAGCAGCAGCATCCAGTTTTATTTCCAAACCCAGAAGCAGCTTGGGCCTCCCTGGTCACCACCGCCACCAGCTCAGACGCACCTAACACAGATCTCCTGGACCCCCAAAGCCAGGCACCTCTCATCCTATCACACCAGGCCCTGGACTGTGGCAGAGATATCACATCAAGTGATACAAGGCACATGTATTTATATGAAAACAGATAGGGGGACACCTGGGTGGCTCAGTCGGTTAAGTGTCTGCCTTCGGCTCAGGTCATGATCTCAGGGTCCTGGGATCGAACCCCGCATCGCGCTCCCTGCTCCGCGGGGAGCCTGCTTCTCCCTCTCTCTGCGCCTGCCCCCCCACTTGCATGTGCCTGCGCACTCTCTCTCTCTGACAAATGAAAACCTTTAAAAGAAAAGAAATACACTCATTTTAATGTAAAGTGTAAAATTACCATGACTATAAGATAGAAAGTTAGACCAGGTAGAACTTTTATACTTGCTTGCTTAAGTTTGGGAAGCCCTCTTGCAGGCGATCTTGAAGAACTTTTTTTTTTTTCAAGATTTTATTTATTTGACAGAGAGAGAGCACAAGCAGGGGGAGCAGCAGGCAGAGGGAGAAGCAGACTCCCCCCTCAGCAAGGAGCCCAACACCGGACTCAATGCCAGGACCCTGGGATCATGACCTGAGCAGAAGATGAGCAGAAGGCAGACGCTCAACCGACTGAGCCACCCAGGCGCCCTTGAAGGACTCTTTTGCTCTGGTCTCTTATTTAGTCTGCCCTGCTCTGGGCTCGGCCCTGGAGGCAGGGGGAAGGTGGGACCTCGTGACCCTGTGTTCATGGTGGGGGATGCGGCGTGCTTACAGGACACGGGGTTCGGTGTGCCCAATGACCGAGCCGGTGCCCCTCAGCGCCAGGCACTATGCTTTCCCAGGCAGCGGCAGCTACCCCGAGTGGAAGGAAACATAGACGACTGCAGCAGGGGGCCCTCACCTGCTCCCCAGAGCCCTCCCCTACTGGGAGCTGAGTGGAGACTCCATCTTCCGTGGCCCTCTCGGTGGCAGAAGGACCTCTGGCCTCCACACTGGGAGTGTGAGGGTCAAGCTGGCTGGGTCCCGCCGGAGCCGAGGGCTCATGGTGCCCAGGCTGCATGTCCCTGTGGGGATGGGAGGTGGCCGGGCCCTGGGCCGTGGTGGCTCTCGCTGTCGATGGCCGATGAGTGGTTGGGTGCGGAGTGGTCTCACTGGGTGGGTGGGCGGCCTCCTTCTCCTGGTCGGTGAAGCCAGGCTCCACCTCGGCCACGAACACTGCCTCTCCCTCCCCGGGTGCCTCTCCCGTGGGCAGGTCGGAGGTGGAGGTGGTGGTGCTGCCTGCACTGGTGGGCTCTGGAGCTGTGGGCACGGCCGTCAGAAGCGCCACGTCCTTCCAGGCGGACGGGGTCTGCTGTGACAAGGTGATATCTTGCAGAGCACCTGGAGGCCCAGAAGCAGAGCTTGTTGGAGCGGGGAAGGCCCAGAACATCTAGATGGGCCAAGCTCATGCAGTGAGCAAGGCCTGCACGAAGACCTGCACTCTGCTCCCGGGCCAGCATTGCAAACTCTTTCGTGCGAAGCTGTTTCCCCAGGGGACAACTAGAGGCGGCGAAACTCCGCTTTGGAAAACGGACGAAGAAAGTTGCCCTTTGCTGCTGCACGTGCCTGGGGAGAGCGTGGTCTCGGGAGCCAAGACACAGCAAGGCCGTCTGGGAAGGAACATTCCCAGTAGCTGCTGAAGCCCGCTCCCTGGGTGGGGGCATTCTCGGGAGCCCGAATGCCTTGTCCCCGGTACACACACCTCTCCGGCCCCCTCCCTGTTCACCTGCCCTCCCCCCAGCAAGGCCCAGCACACCCAAGACAGAGGCCGTGTCCTACCTTCCAGCTCCCAGGCCCCTATCTCAGCCACTTTCCCCTCGGATGGTCAGAACCCTCTTCCAAAATCCTGCTCAAGAGCACCTCCTCTGGGAGGCCTCCCTGATCACCTCCCACTCAAGGACTTCACTCCCCCAGGGAAAGGGGAAATAGGAGAAGATAAGGGAACATTTATGGAAGATCTACACCCCACCCGGCTCTGTGTTACCTTACAGCTCCCAACAATCTTATGATGTCAAGATATATTCCCATTTTACAGATGAAGAAATAGAGGCCCAGAGAAGTCCACCTTTCCAAAGTTTGCCTGGGGAGTTAGTAGAATATGAGCCCGTCTTTCTGCAGTGGACAGCCCCCGGGGCCCCCTGAAACCACAACATTCACTCCCCAACCCATACATGCCCTCTTCTCGCAGCGTGGGCCCATTCTCTTTCCTACCGTTACCCTCCAGACCCAGCCAGGGGGCCTGCCTGACTGCCATCTTGGGGGAGGCCCTCATGTCAGCTCACCTGCACCAGAGCCGGAGAAGTTGTCAGAGTCATCCCCAGAGCCATCCTGATCTTCGGGGGGCACATTTGTGGCCACAATTTGCTGGAAAAGGATCAGAAAAGGGTATGAGGGGAGGCTTGGCCAAGGCCCTGCTACTCTGGGGCCCCTGTCCTAGACAGCTGGGTGAGCTCCCCCACCACACACACACAGCACAGTGAATAAACCTGTGTGTGTGGCTCCGGGACCCCCAGCTTGGGGCAGCCCTCTGGTCCCCCACATACCCCCAAATGCTATGATGACACAGCCCTGCACCAGGTGGTGGGGGTGCAAAAACACACCAGAGGGGGCAGGGCTCTTGCCCCAAGACATTCAGTCTGGTAAGGGAGCCCCAGACCTCTTAGAAGAGCAGCAGAAGACGCCATTACTGGGAACAGAGACTGTGGCCGCAATGGGACCCTGTCAGCTCACCCGACACTGAAAATCAGGTCCTAGGGCCATTGGCCAGGGAGCTTCAGGATCCAAGACTGGGGTTTTCTAGAGCCCCAGGAACAATCCCCCAGTGACCTGACTCCAGAGAGGAGCTCTCCAGGCACGCTGGGCACCAGGGTACAGACATCAAGGGCCCCACAGGGGGAGAGGTCAGGGATGGGCGAGGGACATGCCCACACAGGACAGCCCAGGCCTGACCACCGTGTTCCTTCCCATACCTGGCCTGTTATCTCATCCACAGGAAGGACTGGGCCCAGGCCCCCTTGGGGAAGGAAGGACAGAGTGCCCATTAGGCTGGGGACAAATGAGACTGACCTCGAAGAGACCCTGCACTCAGGAGGCACCGACAAACGGTCTAGGGGCCTGATAGCGACCTGTGTGCAAACGGCTGTCCCAGAACCCTGCCTGCCCGGTGCAGCTTGGAGCGGCTGCAGAGGCCAGAGGCGGGAGCTGCACCTGCCAAACTAGTGAGCTGGCCCGGGAGGAGGCAAGTCTCAGCACACACAGCCGAGCAGGCTACACAGAAGCCTGCAGCAGGGCGATGTGGGGGTGTGGAGGGCTCCCCAATGCTAGTTCCAGAACGTCAGTTGAATTGAAGACCCAAGAGCCAAGTGGCAGGAACCGTAGCGATGAGTGTCCTGTTCGGCAACAAGTGAGTTCGTGACACACCCATCTCTAGAAGGCCCGGATGTCAGGGGCCCAAACAAAACACGAACAAAGAGAGCAACATAGCTCAGAGCACACGGGGTTAGAGACCCCTGACCTTGGCCACTTACTAGCTGAGTGGCCCTGGGGACAACACTTAACCTCTTAAGGCCTCAGTCTCTCCATCTGTAAAATGGGGACAGTAGTAATATCTCCGTTCCAGGCCTGTTGCAAAAACTCCCTGAGGTTATGCACCGACAGCAGCTGCTGCGGTAACTCGGGGAGTGAGAGCTGCTCAGCATGGGTAACGGGCTTCGGGTGCCTGCTGGGAAGAGGTGGGATGGAGGTGGTGGGGTTTCAAGGAGAGGCAGGACGGAGCCAGGTCACAGGAGACCCAAGGCTGGGCTCCAGGGTGTGAGGCCTCCTCAGCCCAAGAGGCCTCACTGGGTCCTGGCCACAGGCCACGGAGTTTCACTCGAGTGGAGCAGAGCAGGGAGGGGACAGACAAGACCTCTGGGCTCGTGAGGCTGCCTGGGGCAGAGCTGGACCAGGTGGAGGCTCCGCATCCAGGGGCTCAGGTCAGAGGGAAGCTTCCGACGCGTGTGGAAACCACCAGGCTAGAAATACCACTGAGCTTCCTCTGAAAGTACAAAACCCAAACGCTACCTCTCCCCCTACCCCCAGGAAAAAGGTTCTGGCCCCAGAAGGGCCCGTCTGGGCTCTCGTGGCCCATGCACATGAACTGGCTTCGTCCCTGTCCTCCCCCTGCACCTCAGGCCACATCCTGCCTACACTGTACCCAGGCGGTGCTTCCAACACCTGTCCCGTCTCCACAGAGCTTCGAAGCTGCCCCTCACCTCCCCCAAGCCTGTGTACCCTTCAGACGCAAAGAATACTGCTCACCAGGCAGGCAGAGAGTGGGGACCCCCCACCCCAACACACTCCCATCCCAGGCCCACAGGGCATCTTGGCAGGGGGCGGGGTGGGGAGACACAGGCATTCAGGGGACACCCACCCACCCACACTCCCTGAGATCCCACTTCCCCTCACCCAGTGCTTCTGCCCGCCCTCACCGTTCCCAAGGAGGCCCTAGGAGATGAGCAGAGCACCTCCCCCAATGCACTGCCTCCGTCCGTTGGTCCCTTGGAGAGGATGCTCAACACGGAGCAGGTCAGGGCTCCAGCCAGAGCAGCCTCCGCGGCACCGACCTGAGAGCCAAATCCTCCAGAAGCAGCCAGAGTCTGGGGCCCAGGCCCTATTTCACAGGTGAGGGGAGGCAGACACCGAGGAGGCCCAGCCTCTCACCTACCCCGAGAAGCCCCAACAGGTTAGCAGTTTCCCAAGAATGGGGCCTCTTTCATCACCAGATAAGACTGTGAATCTGCCCAGTCCCTAAAAACAATTTGTTCCCTCACCTCTGCTCAGCTTATCCCTGTGCGATCTTGTTTACACAACAAGCTCTTAAGCAAACGCTTTCTCTGCTGAAACCAGCTCCCTGGCCTCGGGGCAGCCCCTCCCCTCTCAGGGCTGGGTCTCCAGCCAGAGAAGGGCTGCAGTGACCTCCAGATCCCCTCCGGCCTGAACCTTAGTGAGGGAGGGCCTCAACTCCCTGGGGAGGAAATCAGCAGAAACTGCTGAGTCTGAACTTGAATCACTAGTACCAGATGACTGGCATTGTGGGGTGAGACTTCCGGTTTCACTTAGGCAGCTGTGCTAAGAGCCTGTGGTCAGCTGCCCCCACGGCCTCCTGCAGGGCTCTCCGCAGCCTTGCCTCTGCCCTGGGTCCCTCGGAGACCACCACGTGGCCACAGCTCAGGGCTGCTTGGGGACAGGTTGGCCCAGCGTGGAACCTACTTCAAGCAGCCTGGGAAGGTAGAGGCAGGCCAGTTCACACCTTGAATGGGGCTCTTTAACCTCTGCAGAGTCCCAGAAGCTCAGCTTTTCATCTAACACCCCAAACCCTTATAGTAAGATCTAAACATTTGCACATTCGGTTTGCTCAAAGTAAGGGCCAATTTGCCGCAGAGCCTTTAGGAACCCACCGGCCTAAAGGGCCAAAGCCTGGTTTGGCTCCAGCGGAGGGCGGGGGTCGTGGGGCAGACACATGGAGGCTGGGGGACAGGGAGTATGAGATAAGCTTAGCCCATCTCCATCTCGGCCACACCCGAGCTGCGTGGGAAGGACTGAGCGAGGGGACCCGGGGCCGGGGCTCCAGCAGAGCAGGGAAGAAACTGTGAGAAACTGAGGCATTCTCGCACACTGGAAGCACTTTCTATCCCTTTCCACCTTTACCCTTCTATTTGAGGCAGGCAGGCCTGAGATTAGCATCTGGCACAGATGAGGAACTGAGACAGACAAGGTGAGGGACTTGCCCAAGGCCACGGGGCGTGGGTGCACGTGCTCCCCTCACCTACCTAGCTCCCATCCCCAGCTCCGAAAGACCCCCTGGCTGACCCATCTGGTTTAAGGTGCCTGTCTGTGCTTCCGCAGCACATGCGCAAAGACACCAATCTTGTTGACGCAGCCGCCGGCCCCAGAGCCCCGGGATGAGAGTGTCGCAGAGAAAGAATTCCTGCCTCCTACCCCAGCAGCTGAGGGGACCGAGGTGCCAGCCCCCACCTCACAGCTGCCGAGGGCTGGGAGTCTGCATCGGGCTGCTGCCGGCCATTCCCAAGAACAGATCGGGAGCCTGTGGGCAGAGGGCCGGCGGAGGAGCCTCAAGGAGGCAGAGCCTCGAGCCAAGCCCAGCAAGCTCCCACCCTGCACTGGCCATAGACAGGGCCACTCTCCTGGGCAACCTCCATCCGAGCAGCCCCCTCACGCTGGCTGGCCGAGAGGCCCGAGGCCGTGTGGCAGCATCCCTCCCAGACATCTCGGGGACAAGAGCTCCATGGTAGGGTCACAAGTCAGGATAGTGAGGGGACATTTCAGAGAGGTTCAGTTGAGGATGGCAGACCCAGGGGCTTCTAACTCCGGACTAAGGGAAGAGGCTGCCTGTCCACCTGCTTCCTAGACTCTTGCCACCCCATCAGCTGCAGCCAACAGGTCCAAAGACCTGTGGTTTCCAACCTACACCCTGAGTCACTCACCGTGTGTCACCTGCTGCCTGACTTAAGTGATGGGTAAAGCACGGATCGTTTAGAAAGCATTACTGAGTTCACAGGACTGTGTTACTCTCTCAACCAACACACTGCTAAAAGTACGATATCGTGTAAGGAGGTCACAGACTGATAATAAACAGGGTCCTTGACATCAAAACTCAGGGGATCACCACCTAGGGGCTTTGGAGAGAAAAGACATGGTCTGGTCTGGTCCTGGCAAGCTCCCAGGGCACACAGCCAGGAACCCCACTTCAGGCTTCCAAAAGGGTGGCTGGGGCACAGAGGGTGACTTTCCAGGGGACACTGAGGCTGGGCCTTGAAACCCCCCAGGCAGACCTGGAGAGAATAAGACAATGCTCAGCCCCAAGTCACTAGCCTCGGCAACACTGGGAACCTCAGGAGTGTGGCAGGCTTACACGTCCAGCAGGGAGGAAGGTTTAGGTATCTGTTGATCGTTATTTGTCCCAGTGGGACGACAAAGCCTGGGCTGCTGTGGTAGGAGACAAGTCACTGAATCCACAGCCCTCCTAGTCTAGAGGAAAGCCAAAGATAAAGGGGCTGGCCACAGCTTTTCCTAAGCAGCCAGCCTTGGTGCTGGCTCTAGGGCTGTTGACCAGAGGGGCCCTCAAGCTGCTCCAGGAGCCCAGCTGTGGGGTCAAAAGGCAGGTGGGCCCCAAAGACATGCCAGGACAAATACCTATCATTCCCACCCACTGAGATCCCACGAGGCAGCAGACATTCTCAGGAGGGTTAAGAGATTCATATTTTCTTTAGAAATTTTTACACCCTCAGTTTCTTGGTCAGATCTGTGGAACTAAGGGAAATAGGTTGATTCCCTGCCCCAACACATACACACACCCCTAGAGT